GTCTGTCTGTGTGGCTTGGCGTACACAGCTCCTAGCGTCTTGCAACAGATCCCCAGTTTCCGCCACCTCAGCCGGACCTGCATCAACAACACACCGCATCAACACATGCAGGAAAACACAGCACAGCACAGCGCCTCGCAATCACACTGAGTGCGTGTAGTTGGCTGACCGCATCTCTGCGTCTGTATCTGGCTGATCCTCTGGCTGATGTCACGGGCCAGCTGATGGTAGTCATCTTCATAGCTGGTAAAGGTCTCGCTGGCCCCTACAAGCGTCACGCCCGTCATGGCCTGTCGAATCGTCAGTACAGAGATGCAGATCTCAAGATATCTTTAGTCAGGCATGTTTCTGAGCCTCCTCGGAAGGAATCCATGTCGGTCGGTCGGTCGGTTAAGGGTGTATGCGAGCTTATTCGTGAAACCTATCCGACCCTATGGACATGAAAAGCTCTGTGATGGCGGAAAAATGGCTCTCCACGCCTTTTGCAGAGACGAACGCCGCTGTCTGACGTCATAGAGAACGCGGCTTGTCACAATAGTTCAAGTAAGCGGAGCTGAGACAAGGCAGGAAGCCGCGGGTGGGACAACGTGCCATATGAGCACCGCACGGGCACTGCCAGGCAGCGCGTGTTCGCATGCAGCGATAATCTGACCTCTGTGACGGATGGCTGTGTGTCTGTGTGTGCAGGTCTAAGCTGGTCAGTGTTCTTCGTTCATCGGCAGTCAGTTATGTCGGGCTCGCCGCCGTCGCCGGAGCCACCACGGCCTTCAGGACCCTTGCCACGCCTGGAGCTGAGCCAACCGTCCATCGCTCTTCACCCTCCCTACCCATCACGCAACGTTCACTCACGTGCTGATTTGCGTCAGCACCGACAGGAGATGCGCCACCTGCAGTATGGCACCAACGGTTTGCCGCACTCCGGTCACCATCGCTCACCCACAACCAACCACCGCCACCACCACCACCAGCAGCAGCAGCAGCACCAGCAGAGGGCATCGCACCCGCTGTCGCCCCTGCCCGTCGCGTCACGGTCACAGGAGCTGCAGAGCGGCAGGCAGCAGGGGCCGGACCTCCGCGGCGCGGCGCTTCCGTCCCCGCCTCTCCACAACCCGTTTTTGCCGCTGACGCTGCCCTCCCCCGTCAGCCAGCAGCGGCAGCAGGGTGCCAAGGTCAGTGCCAGTCCTGCAAAACGAGAGGAGAACAGGAAGACCATGGGGAAAAGGGATAGGAGCGGTCTTGCCAACCGAGACGTCAACGAGCCTCGAGTGAGTGAGTGAGTGAGTGAGTGAGGATTAATCTCTGACTCACAAACTTTTGATATGATGTGCCTCCCTCCATCTTTGGGCATCGTCACTCTGTGTCTGTCTGCAGGTGCACGAGTCTTTGCCTGCGCGCGACGGCCCCGCCAATGGCCAAGAACATCGCCAGGACTCAGGTACACAGGCGCTGTACACAACCACAACGGACAGACACATCAGGCCCAAGACAGACAGACAGACAGACATCTGAACAATAAGCCCTCAACTGCATTCCTCCCTGTGCTGTCTGTCTGTCCAGCTGGCTCCAATGACGATGGTGTCTTTGGCCTGACCTACAGCGAGTACCGCTGGGACTTCCACCGGGTCATGGAGGTCAAGGCGCTGCTCAGGAAACATCCCTGGGCGGCCATGAAGACCATCGTCGTCTTTGCGTGGCGACAGTCGGACGCCGAGCTGCTTGCAGATTCCCTGATGAAAACACGTACGTCAGGACACACACAAAGAACACTCAGAGAGAGACAGGCGGATGGATGGATGGATGGATGGATGGCTGGATGACACATGCATGTGTGTTGTGTTGTGTTGTGTTGTGGTTTGTTGTGTTGTGTGCAGGTGTGTATGGGGAGGTGGAAACCTATCACTCAGGCCGCACGAGGGCACAGCTGGCCGCCGTGATGGACCGATTCATCACAGGTGAGGGAGCGAGTGGGCGATGGGCATCAATCCACACACACACAGCACACACACAGCACACATACAGCACACAGACATGCCCACATGTGTTGTGTTGTGTTGTGTCTATGTATCTATGTGTAGGGAAGGTTTGCGTGTTGGTTGCGACGAGTGGCGTTGACCTCGTCCACGCAAGCCACGCGCTGCGCGTGGATGGGGCCATCCACCTGACCATCCCCCAGTCGATTGAGAACTACGTCAAGGACACCAAATACACAGGCGGACAGCCGCACGACAACGGTGCGTACACACGCATGACCGCGAGGGGCATAACACGACCCACCGACACGTCTGCACCGTACCTCTCTCCCTCTCTCTGCCTGCCTGCCTGCCTGTCTGTCTGTGTGTCTGTGTGTCAGGTGCTGATGGCCCCCGCGGCCATTCTCATGTCTTCGTGCGTCCCGAGGACCTTCTCATGATGCACCGCGACGCCAGCGTGCCGTTGGTGGATCCCTGGGCGGCCACCCGCCTTGCCTGCGCACTCATGGACCACCTCATCCAGCCACGTGCCAATGCACGCACCAACACCAGCATCCACAAATTCATACACGTCAGCCGACCGGACCAGCAGCCTGAAAGTGGCCAAGGTGGTGGTGGCCGTGTGGTGGCCGTCAGTATGCCGTCGACTGACGCCATGGCGGCCCTCAAGGCCCAGACACCCGATGACGTCACGACCTTCTTCCGCATGCTCGACCACACGATACAGCATCAGCATCAGCAGCAGCAGCAGGACGGCCCACCCACCACCAGCACCAGTCGCATCTACCCCAACGTGCCCCTCACATACAAGCTGCGCTTCTCCCGGGCCACCAAGGACGACGTGTGCGAGAAATCCGACTTCATGCGGTCCTTCATGGCCAGCGCCACGCAGCACGCCAATGGTGTGTGGAGTGTGCGTGCGACGGACGCCGTCACCGCCACGGGCAGGAGCCCCCCGGAGCTGTCCCAGGAGCTGGCCAAGGCGGCGAATGGCGAGGGTTTCACGGTGAACAGGTGCGATTGGCAGGCGAGGGGCGTAATGGTCGTCATAAGAGGGGGCGGCGAGCACCAGGAAGATGGTCGTGAGGATGCATTTGGGGGCATGAGGGCGGCTGTGGAGGCTACCCTACAGAAGCTGTATGAGACACTCAAGTAAGGAGCGGCAGGCAGGCAGGCAGATACACGGACAGGGGTGGGAGGGTGGGTGAGTGGACGGGCTTGTATTTGTTCTTCTCTCTCGCTGTGTGTGTGTGTGGCGTCCATTTATGTCCATGTGTGTGTGTATCGATCAGGGTTGGTGTTGCCAAGTTGGAGGCGGCCTTCATGGCCTTGTACCTGTCAACCAAGGAAACCGGCGCACAGGCGCAACAGGACAAACTGAATTCGCTCGTCCAGGTACGCACACAATCACTCACACACACACACACACACACACGGCCCACACCGCACTGTCTTTGAATGCGTGCAGGCGTATTCCGCGCATACCGAGGGCGATGCTGGGTGTCACCACGATCTGGTACGGGTGGTGTGCGAGGCCGCCGTGGGGGCAGCCAAGGCCGACGGCCTCCGTGTTGAGTCGCGGCTGGACATCTGCGGCGGCGAGATCGGCAGCGAAAGTTTCTTAAGATTCAAACACGTAAGTACATCTGCGTGGTACGTCTGGCTCTTTGCCGAGCTCAGTGCTTTGTTTCATTGTGTGCGTGTCTGTGTCATGTGTGCAGCTGTTCGCCTCAGCCCCCATGAACAGTGACCAAGTGGACCAGTGGGGGATCAGCACTCTCAACGGCGTCAGGCATCGTACCAAGATCGCCAACCAGCTCTCACACGCCGTCAAGAACACACTCAAGAACATGTACTGAGTCATGCAGCACAAATCCATCCATCCATCCATCCATTGTGGATGGGGTTGCTTTGTGTGCAATCCATGCAGGCCTCTTCTGTACGAGTTGACCGAGCAGCCACCGACCGTGAGCACGAGAGACGTGGCTGTCAAGCATCTGGCGCCTCTCACGATCGCACGGGCCCTGGCGCGCATCAACACCGACTCCCTGGTGGGCGGAAGAAACACATCCCCAACCCATCCGTCGATCCGATCCATGAATGCATCTTTGTGCCTCTCTTGTACGTATGATCATGTCATGCAGCCGAAGGCCGTGTGTGAGGCCTTCAAACCGACCACCATGGGTGCCCCTGATATCGCCACTCTGCCCTTCGGTTTCCTCCTCGACGCCGCCCAGCGGGCCGTCAGCCGGCACAAGGAGCAGCTGCTCACGCACACAAGGCGCCGGGCGCCAGGGCTCGGACTGCCACAGGAGCAGCAAAAGCGGGACAAGAAGCGATCGATGCTGGCTGCCAACGACCTCCCGACGAGTCAGGAGCGGGAGGGCTGCGCACCCAAGAAAGTCCGCAGGACACAGAGCAACAAGAAGAACAGCAAGAAGAGGGCGGCGGTCACTGAGCTGCATGAAGGAGGACAGCGAGGCGCCAAGTCGCTGAAGAGCAACTTTCAGGCGGGCGACGGCAACAAGCGGCCGAGGGTGACCGCGGCGGTCGAGGCTGTGGCGCCCGAGAACCCAACCGACCAGCAGATGACCGTCGCTGCTGCTGCCGCTGTGCCCGTTGCCGCTGAGCCGACATACGTGACGCGGAGCAAGAAGCGGAAAGTGACCTGACCTGACCCCATCCGCTGAATCACAGATGATAGTGCCGGAGGGAGGGCATCCATGCGTGCTGAATGAATCTGGCTGTGACTCACTGACTGACTGACTGACTCATGTGTGGGTCTGATTGTCTGTCGTGTACATTACGGCTATCTGTCTGAAGAGGGTGCCTGGCTGCTGGTCGGTGTTGCATTGTATGCATACGTTGACGTGTCGTGTCGATTCATCCATGGGCGAGGTAGATGGGGAGGGAGGGATGGAGGGAGGGAGGGAGCAAAGGGCTGTGAGTGAGTGATGGGACAGATACACAGACACAAACAGGGGACAGACAGACCGATAATTGAGACACACCATGTCTGAGATACACCGCACGATGAATCAATGGAACAGACGTATGGGTGACTCCCTCCCTCAACCAAATACATACATACCGCACAGGTGGGGGGCTGATGCGATGCCTGCACACGCACGTATGTCATCATCAGCAAAAGTCTGTCACATCCATGCCAGCCAGGAATCGACATTCATTGATACGCTTTGTGTCACGGTCCGTCCTACAGTCAGTCCGCCTGCACTGTCTGTCTACTACTTCGCCGTCCTGTGCATGAGCGGCACCCCAAACCTCCTAGCGTCCACCTCGGTGCTGACGTCCCCATCTCCCTCACCCTCTCTCGCCCCTTGCCTGGGTCTCTTGACGCCCCTCACCGTCTCCCACTGCATCTCGCGCCACTCCCTTCTGATCTTCCCACGGTCCACCCCACCCACATGCTGCCGCAAGTGCTCCGCGGCCCTCTCTGTGGCACTTGACGACAGCCCGCTGCTGCCGCTGCCATCCTTGTTGTCTTTGCCCGCCGCCTTCGGCCTCTTTGTCCGTTTCTTCTTCGGGCCGCCCTTGGGTCTGCGTCGCGTCTTCACGAGTGCGGCCCAGTCGGCCCTGCTCACACACACGTCGGCGAAGGCCAACTCGCAGATGGAGGCGAGGGTGTTGAGTGAGCCGACGATGGAGCGGTTGGTGGCCGTGGGGTTGGCGCGGCGATAGAACTGGTTGGACTGGGCTATCAGCCGGTCGATGAGGTCTGCACGAAGGCAGAAGTCAGAACACGTGACAAGTGAGTGTGTCAGCACACAGGGCGGCGCTATATTGGTGCTCACGTCACTTACTGTTGAGGTAGGATGCGTTCCAGAAGCCGCCGAAGATGCGCCGGTGGCGGTGGGAAGCCGCCACCAGCTTCATGAAGGTCACGCGCATCACGAAATACACGTTGCGGCATATCTGCAGACAGAAAGACAGACAGACAGGCAGACACTCCCACTCAGGCGGACAGACGGACAGCCGTATTTCTCGTCGCCTGACCGTTTGCCAGTCGTTGAGCTTTCGGTCGAGCAGCATTGCGTGTGAGAGCTTGATACGCATGAACCCACGCACACGATCCTCTATCATCGTCTGCACAGAGCAATGAAAACAAGGACCGTCTTTGTCTGGCTGGGTGTCTGTCAACAGCTGCTGTTGACATCTACTTACTACCCACCTGCATGGCGGTGCCCTTTGGTCTGTCCAGTGCTCCCTCCAGGAACGACGAGTAGCCTGGTGTCATGATGTTGAGGCTGTCCGATATGCTGCACGACCCTGCATCCAGCAACGAACAACAAACACACACATGCAGAATCGCATCGGGGTAGGGCTTGCGTGACTAGACACATACCAGGGAACTTCCATCCGCTGAACAGGGCATTGACCTTGGGCGCCTTACTGCCCTCCCGCGCCCCTTCCCCCGTCCCCGGCTCCAAAGCCAGCCCTGCCCAGTCGATCCTCCCGTCGTCTGGCTCGCCCTCGGCCTCACCCTCACCGTGGCCGCCATCAAGCAGGGCGGTGTTGAAGTTGGCCCGACACTTGTGTCTGTTGACCGGGCCGCCCCACACCTCCCTCTCTAGCAGGAGGCTCAGGAAACCGTCTGCGAGGCCGCGGTCCGGTGGGCAGAGGAAGAGGAAATCATCCACCCACCGGATGAGGAACGAAGGCATGAATGGGGGGATAGCAGGAGCCATGGCGACATCGTCGTTGTCTGCCGGTGGGGCGGGCAGTGCTGGGAGGGCTGCGATGGGGTCGTTGGCGGGGCTGCTGCTGGCTGCGTTGTCTGGGGCAGGCGCCTTGAAGAGGTTCAACAGTGCCTTGAGGTCGACTGACCGGTCCTTGCGGCCGTAGTGGATGGCGCACAGCAGCGGGGACAGAGTGCCGCCCTGGGGGATGCCCGTGTGCTGGCGGAAACCCAGCAGCCTCTCGTCGTTCCTGCCGCGGCCGCCCCTCCCGCCCCGTGAGTCCATCAGTGGGGTGGTCTGGAGCTTGACGGCGTGGTGCGTTATGTGGTGCTTGATGGTGGCCAGCAGGTCCGTCTTGGTGAGGATGGTCACCTTGCAGGGGTCCGACAGCAGGATGCCGCCGTGGGACTCAGAGCGGGAGAGAATCGCTGACCGGACGGAATGGGCCCCATGGGATGGATCGCGGAGGGCTGAGCGGAGGTCGGGAAACCTAGGCCATCAGCACCACACACAAGGCGGCAACAGAGACATTGTGTTGTCTGAGTGGTCTTTGTCCGTGCTGACCTGTCCATGGGCAGCACGACTGTCAGCGTCCGCGTGACGAATCGAGCAGGAGGGGAGAAACTCCGCTTCAACACTCTAGGGCGACAAGGAGACGGTGCCTCCCTGCATGTGTGTGAGTCTGTGAGTCTGCTGATCTTACTTGACGACAGCCAGCTGATCGGGCAATGGAAGCGAATCAACAGCCTCAACCAACTCCTGCACACACACACACACCCCACATCAACGAACAGACACATGAGAAGTGGACCGTTTCCGATCTTTTCCTCTGTGCACCTGTTGTGAGATGGATTCATAGCATGATGTCAAGTCCCCCACAACCACATCGAGCTTCGGCAAGTCACCCCCACTCCCACTCCCGCCCCCAGCCCTTCTGCACACCTCGCCCCACCACTCACGCAACGCAGCGGCGAACGCCCCGTAGCCCAGCACGGAGCGCCCCAGTGTGTCCGCACACTCCTGCGCCACCCATCGCACGGCAGCCTGCACCGTCCGCAGGTGGTAGTTGACCGACAGTCTCGCCATGGGGGCAAAGCTGCTGGGCACGACCGGCAGCAGAGAGCCGGTCTGGGGTCTTCGGGCTGGCATGTGGTCGGCCACGTAGAGTGCGCGTGAGGGGACGGCCAGTGATGCTAACGGTGGTGGTTGTGCTGGGCGGGGGACGATGGCGAGTGATGTGGGGGAGGGGAGGGCATTAGAGGGGGGGGTGGGTGGCGACGGGAGGGCCCTGGGTGGAGAGGGGCCGCTCACTGTCGGCGGTGCGGGGATGGTGCCGCCCTAATGCAGCATGGGACACGTGTATGTGTGTGTTCTGTTGCTCAGTGTTCGTGTGTTGTGTTAACCTTGGACAGGTTGACGACGGGCCTCATGCCCTTGAGCTTCGGCAGCCAACGCACGGAGGGGAACCTGCGCACAATAGATCGACGCACCGATAAATGACTGGCTGCCATGCCAAACCCCTCCTCCACGAATCTCGCCACCTGTATCCCTTCTTGAGCTTTGACCTCGGCGAGGCCGACGACGAATAGATCGGCTCCAAATTCACCTTCCTGTACCGCAGATATGGGGTCAGATGTGCGTGTCTGCTGCCTCACAGCGCCGTGTGTCGCCCACCTAAGTGCCGCGTCGGCGTGGCGATGGAGGCGGTGCCACACCGCCTTGCGAAAGAAGCGCACCCGCTGACCAGACGGCTCGGCCGGGGTAATGAAGAAGTGAGCCCTACACCACACACCCGACACACCCATCGCAGCCGTCCTCTTGCCTCTTTCCGACTGCTCCAATCCTCACCTGAGCACGGGCACCACAAAGTGCGTCAGTGCGAAGTAGACGAGGCGGCCGTAGTAGTCCTGCAGCAGTTTCAGCTGGTCCTTGCTGCACTTTGCGATGCCGTGGCGGAGAGCGATGGGCTTGAGTTCCAGTCGGTGCAGCAGTGTGGGCAGGTTGAAGGACTCCTGCCGGTTGAGCGTTACGAACTGCCGCACCCGCCTCAGAATGACGCGCGTGTTGTGGACACCGCCCCACAGAGACGACGGGAACACTAACCTGACCATGGGGATGGATGGATGGAAGTCGCATCTTGATTCTGACTCACTCTCACCTAAAAGCGGTCATGACGAATCTCACGACCTGAGATGGTTTGACCTCGCAGCTCAGCACGGGGAACCTTCGCCGCACACGCTCGTCCACATCATCAGCACCACCACCGTCATCGCCATCCATCGCCATGTCACCACCATCCCCCATCGGCTCCCCGGGCGATGCCGGCTCAGTGGGCGTGCAGCTGTCGGCCTTGACCGTCCTGGCGCCGCTCATTTCATCATCTTCGTCGTGTGGCTGCTGGTGCCTCCTGTCGGCGGCAGTGGGTGGGAGGCCTTTGATGGCTCGGAATGCGTGTGTGGCGGGGCAGGTGCGGCGCAGGAGGGAGGGGAAGAGGTGCTTGTTGGCGTGGTAGTTAGACAGGATCTCCCCCACTGACACACCCAGGCGCCTGTGCCACAGAAACGGAGTGCATGCAATGCATTAGGAATGAGAGTGTGCGCGTGGTGTGTGTGTCTTTTCTTCGTATCACCTGGCGATTTTGCACTGGATGCGTGTGGCCTTGGTGGCCATCGGCGGGTGTGGCGGTGCATCAGCAGGGCGCTGGAAAAGCTCACCACCGAAGCACACATACTTGGTCAGCAGCTTGGCTCCCTCCTCTGCAGAGAAGACACACATACAGGGTACGATTGTTCGTCGCGTCCATGCATCTCCTCTGTGTCTGTCAGCCTCCCCTCTGACCTACCTGTCTTGTTGTGTTTCTCAAGGGGGCTGTCTCTCGGCAACCCGGGCCGCAGTGAAAACGACTTGGCAAAGAAAATGCGATGGCGGGGTACAAAGATGTCCATAGGCCGACCAGGACGTGATGGCCCGTCCCCACCCCCTCCCTCCCGCCTGTTCTTGCTCTTGTACCTCCCTCCTCTGCTCCTTCTCCGCTGCTTCCTTCTCGCCTCTGCACGGCCGCTCGATTGCGCCACCTGAGCTGCGGCGAGGGGGGCGGTAGTTGTGGTGCGCTCTTCTCGCTTGACGCGCTTGGTGGCTGGCGACTCGTCTTTGGTGGGCTCGTGCTTTCGCTTTGCCGGCAGGCTGGCTGCTGCTGCTGCTGCTGCTGCGGGGGGACCAGGGGGAAGTGCCGGTCGGGAGGGTGTGGCAAGTGAGAATGGGAAGCGGGACCGCCGCAGATCTGCGATGACAGCATCGGTCAGGAGACGACCTGACGAGCGGCCCACAGACACACATGACTTATAAGATGTTGAGGGACCATTTCCTCTCAGTTACCTGTACACTGCAGGAAGATCGGTGCCCTCTTAGTGTTGTCCTCCTCCCCTCTGGGCGGCACCTCACAGAACACCACACAGTTGATGAGGAGGTGCAGCATCACGCTGTCACCACACCGGCTCAGCAACGTCTTCCATGCCCCCGAGGTCATCCAGGTGGCCATGGTAGTGGGCGTCTTGCACTCCAGCTGCCGGGGATTGGAGCGATGCAGTCGGTAGGGCAGCGCCAGGGAGTGTCGCTCGGGCATTGGGGGCGGGGGAGGGGAGCTGCTGGTGCTGCTCGCCATGGAGGGAGGGGAGGGGCTGCGGTTGCGCTGGCTCTGCAGGACGGTCAGCACGGCACGTTTGTACACCTCATTCTGTGTTGATGACACGGCCAAACTGACAGCGACAGGCAGAACAGAAGAATGCACTGTCGCCTATGCGCCTTTGCAGTGCGTGTGTGTGCGTGTGGGCATGCAGGTGTGTGGCACCTTAGCCACTCACCTGACTTTGGTGAGTTCGCGTCGATATGGCGACTCAAAGTGGGCATCTTCGAAGACGACCGACCTCCGCATGAGTGTCACGTAGCTCTCAGCGTCCCCCTCCCGTACCGCCCCGCCCTGCGGCAGGTCATCTCTGATTGTGATGCTTCTCTTGCTGGCGTGTTGTCGCTTCAATCGATAGATGCCTTCGAGATAATCCTCCAGCGACACCAGCGGCTGGCCGACGAACGAAGTCACCCATGACAGATCCGAATGCACACTCATCTTCTCCACTCATCTAAGCTCGCAGCCGGAAGCCGAAAGCTATCCGTCTACCCTCAGTCCATGAAATCCAACGACACTCGCATGACGGACGAGCAGAAGTGGAAGATGTTGCCGGCCGATGTCATGCACCGCCTCGAGCACCCCGACGAAGGCAGGCGCACCCAGACACAACCCGTCCCTGTAGTCTTCACATTGGCAGCCGAGGATCTCAAGGATGGCGAATCAGGTATCAAAGGCGGCGGGAGGGAGATCTGATCTGCATCAAGTGATCGAGTGGTCCGCTCAGGGTGCGACTTGTTTGCGGCTGTCATGTCAGTTTCGTTGGTGGTTGGTGGTTGGTGGCAAGACTCATCGCATGGCGCCTCCCTCCCCCACATGCGACGGCTGGAGGGTCTGTGTGCCCATTCCCCCGGGCCGTCACCCTTACCAGTACGTGGTGACGGACTCCAATGGCCTGACCGTCAAGCGAATGCGCGTGAAGCGCGCCGTACCGAGCCGCCACTCGGCCGCCCTACTCATCGTTTTCGACACGTCCACTGAGATCAACTGGTGTCGCAACTGGGCCGCCGTGACGCCATCGGAGCAGATTAGCAATCAACGCGCACAGGGGGTCTCTGCGGTTGGTTTCATTTATGTGTGTGTCCGGTTTCGCTTGGATGCAGGAGTTTGAGCGTGCCTTCACTCCGTCGTTGTTCTTCGGCAGCAACCAGCCTCCGCCCGCCTTCACCGTCCTGCCAGACCCAGACGCCCTCCCTGCCTGGCTCCACGATACAGCCGTCATCCACACACACGAGGTGGGTGGATGGCCGTGCCATCCACCCACATCAGTGGACTTCGACGGCGGCGCGTGCCATCTGACCAAGCAGCTGGCCATCGGCATCGCATGCGGCACCATCGACGAGGCCGGGGCGCAGCGGCTGATCGACCGGGGTGCCGACCTCAATAAGGGTGTAAAGGCGCATGAACGCCACCTCAGCCTGATCGGGCTGGTGGTATACCACACCGGTTCGGCGGCCGGCAAGGTCCTGCGGGTGCTGCTCGAGGCAGGAGCTCCCATCGACATGGGAGGTGCCGCCGAGGCCATCCCTTTCGCAGTCAGGGTAGGGCGCTGGCCGCTCCTGGAGATCCTGCTCCAGCCGCAATACAGCTGCAGCGCGCATGTGGCGGGCACGTCGCTGCTGTCCCAGCTACAGGAGCGAGAAGAGGATGAGAAGGGTCTGTCTCCGGATGACCATCTGCGTCTCGTCAAGAAGATCGGCGAGGTCGCCCCGTCGGTCCTCACCGAAGTGGACCGGGACGGCATGCAGCCAATCCACCGATACTGCCAGGATCCCCTGGCCACGGCCAAGTCCCAGAAGTGGCTCATCGAATACTTCGTCAAGGTGTGCGGGCGTGCCGTCGTCAACACGCCAGACGGGGAGGGCATGCGACCACTCTGGCACGCGTCGCTCAACCTCACGGGTGCGCGCCGCAAGGCGACCATCGAGGGGCTGTATCGATATGGTGCGGCAGAGCACATCAACACGCCCCGCAACGATGGCCGCACGCTGCTGTACCACCTGGCGGTGTTGGCGAGTGAGGTCACGTGGCGCCCCGTCGACAAGAAGGACAAGGACGTGTCGCACCTGGTCGAATTGCTGTCGCACGGTGCCTCGGTGACGGCCGCCGGCGTCACACCAGAGAGGGCAATCGCACTGGCCGAGGAGAAGCGGCAGCCCAGAAGACGCCGTCGATGCGACGATTACGATTGCGATTCCGATTACGATTCCGATTACGATTACGATAGCGACGACGAGGAGGACCACTACCCCGCCAAATGGATCCTCCACGTCTACGGCACCTACCTCAACCGCACCATGCCTCGACGGTCCATCCGTGCCATCAACACCGCCCTGCGGCCCAGCCGTTCCATCACGGCATCGCTCACCCGACCCATCCCCATCAGCGAGACCACACACATCACGCTGCCCTCCGAGATCCAGACAACCATCGCCGCCTACCTCACCCCAGCCCCCTCCATCCCCATCGGCGAGGCCCCACTCAGCACTCGCATCAACCAGGCCGTGGAGCAGTACGTGAGGGCCGCCACTCGCAGCATCATCCAGGACGGCAACGTGCATGTGGTGGGGGGGCCGGGGCAGCCACAGCTGCGCCCCTTTGCCATGGGTGGGGCGGCGGACCGCCGCATGGGCATCTGCGAGGTCATATTCCGCGCCGTTCGGATCGAGACGCAGCGGTGGGGCTGATGAAGCCGCCACACCTTCCATCCATCCATTCGTGCATTATTCTTTTCTGCTGCTGTGCTTGAACAGATTCGGCATCAAGCTGACGCTCAAGCACGGGACGGCTGATGACCTGGAGGTCCTCAACAACATGACGGTGGCGTGACGTACGTAGCTTAGCTGTGGCGACGAGGGAGGGCGGGGGAACGATGGGGCGGCCATCGGTACCTCTTGGTAGCTAGCGGTCGAGATCAGACCTGACTGGGACGACTGAGGAGGGTCCGTCCAGCTCAGCTAGATGTAGCAGATTTGGGTGAGTCGACTGAGTGCCGTGAGCCAGAGGCGTGTGTTTTTACCTTACCGACCGACGATGGATGGATGGATGGATGGACCGGATATGTGTGTATGTCGTGACTGACTGTGTAGCTCAGCCTTGCCCTGCCGGCCTGGCCTGCACCTACTGTAGCTGATAGATGGATAGATGTCGCCATCACCTGGCCTGCCTACTCTCCCCCCATGTAGAGTAGATGTGCCCCCTTCCTTCCACGACAATGACAATGACGGACGATTACACCAGAGTGAATGCATCGCATCGTGTCTGTGGCTTTCTCTCATCTTCCTGCCGAGTCTCCAGGAGCCTCATTCTCATTGCATACTCAGCGCTCGACAGGTCGGTCGGTCAGGAAACGCATTGCATTCACACAGGCAGGCACCAACATCCAGACACCACCCCAGTGAAGTGAAGCCTACACGGCTTCTCATCCACCCACGATGCACCACTGGCACGACGACACTCTCACACACTTACACAACACATCACAACTTCAGCCAGTCGCTTGAAACTCCCAAAAACCGAAAGGAAAGAAACACCTGACTGACCATCCTCCCACGTCAGGCTCGTTAACTTCCGTCAGTCAGGCTCAAGCATTGTATTCATCGTCAGTCAGCCCCCCTGCCGTTGTCGTCTTGGCCGTTCTTGCCATTCTCGCCCTCCTCCTCTGCATCTGCATTGGCAGCGGCAGGGTTGTTGGCGTTGGTGTCGCCTGGCTTGGCGTCTGCAGGTAAGGCGGCAGCTGCAGCTGCAGCGGCTGGCGTGTCCTCCTTCAACCGCCTCTCGTACTCACTCATGCACTTGGTGTAGCTGAAATCCTGCACACACGGACACACGCATCCAGACAAGAAACACGCGTGTGTCCGTGCCGTATTGATAGCCGACCTCAGAGGTGCCGTCGGTTCTGATGACGTGGAAGCATCGAGACTTCTGGCCGTCGAAGTCCTTGACGTCCACCTTGATGCCCGTCATTTCTGCACACACGCAGAGGCAATTAAGTGAGAGTGGCAGCATCGGCTGGACGGACGGTTGCCGCTGGCTTGGCTGACCCTTCTTCTTCTCATCGGCTCGTGGGTGGTAGTCCAGCAGAGCAACCACCTGCACACCGACCACCACCACGGGCGGGCAGGCGTCGATGTGTGAGAGTGTGTGTGTGTGTGTGTGCGTGTGTGGTGCTTACCAGTTTGTAGTCGCTGCTGTCCTTGTTCATCGGCTTGTTGTCGGGGTGGGATGCAATCACGCCCTGTGTGTTGTGCGACCAACAGGAATGGAATGTGATCCACGGAGTGTGTCGCGCTGCGTGTGTTGACGCTCCCTCACCTTGAGCCGGTTTCTGAGTTTGTTGACGCTGCCGAAGGACTGGCCGGCGAGCGATATCTGCCCGCCGCCCTTGCCCTGACCCTAGGCACACACACATGCACAAAGCAGCACCATCCAATCCAGCGGCATAATGAGAGCACAATGAACGGCGCGGCAGCACGAGCGCTGCATGAAAGAGTACCTGTGCCTGTCGCCGCTTCATAGCGGCCTTCTCGCGCTTTTTGATCAAGTGCGGCGGAATGTCCTGCACCCACCACAGTCAGTCATACCAACACAAACACACACAGGCATGCTGCTGATATGAGGACATTTATCAGTGACAGTTGCTCGGCTGAGCTACACACCTTGATGCCCTTCTTGAGCGCATCGCCGTAGAGCACCTTGGCCTCACACTCACGGCCGGCCAGGTCAATCTTCAACTGATAGTCGTAGGAGGGACGACACACACGAGGCACACCCATCGGTCGACAGTCGAAGCCTTTCTCTCCCTTCCTCCCTCCCACGAAGGCTTACCCCATCCAGGAAGTCGACATCTCCGTCGAATGGCGAGCACAGCAGCACGCTCTCGGAGTTCTCAGTCTTGACCTGAGTCGCGAACTCTACCTTGCCCTGATGGATGGATCGTTTGATGCATTTACACACATAGATAGATGTGTAGACAGACAGCGATGGACACAAGGGCAAATGGCGCGTGGCTGCCTGGTCTTCACTTACGCCTTGTGGTTTGACGCGGTCCCCGAGTCTGTCCCGCACGGCGTTCCACGACACCTCCTCCGGGATGTCCTTGATCGACAAGACCACACTGATCCGCACACACCAGCGCACACACACACACACAGGTATAAATTCCGTCGCATGTATGTGTGTGCATCCTTCCCATCGATGGTCACCCACCCGCCGAGATGTGCCGAGTATCTGACGTTGCCTGGCTCGTTCTTCTGCTTCCTCTCAGAGCGAGGCACCAAGGTGGGCAGCGGAGTCAGCCGTCGAACGGCACAGCCAGCTGAGAGAACCAAAGTAACCAACAGAGAGGGAGGCAGTGAGCGCACAGCTCACAAGTGAGAAAGGACACACACCGTCATGACTCCCTCCCTCCCTCACTTTCGTTGTCTTTGATCTCGAGATGCGAGCCTTTGAGAGCCTCCAGCACGTTCTCCTTCGTCGCCTTGAGCAGCTTCATGCGCGGACACTCCAAGATCAACTTCATGTCAAGCCATCCCTGACAGGAACCAACAACACACACGAACAAACTCCGGGAGCATTTGGTATGTCTGAATGCATGAGGATGGGTGTATGGCTTCGGTGCCTTCTCTCATCCGCACTCACGTCGTTGGCTGAGGAGATCTTCTCGTGGAAGAACTTGTCCTGGCGCAGGTTTTGGTCGGAGAGGTAGTACTCGACCTGTCGCCGCACCTCCCCCATGTTGACCGATACCTTGGGCGCTGCCGTGCCGTCATCGAGCTTGGCCTTCTTGTCGGCTGGCTCGTCCTCGGCCGGCGCATCCGCAGCCCTCTTGCCCTCATCTTTCTCATCCGTCACATTGGCCTCCACGTTCACCTCTGGTCCCTCGTTGGCAGCCATACCTCGATCGAACCCTTGAGAGACGAACGCAGCAAGCAGGAACTGCCCTTCTACCTTCTTTCTTTGTCCGTCGGCTAAGCTCGCAGACCGATCGCCAGAGCGTGGGGAAAACAGCGACAATGAGGGCTGAGATGCACCTTCTGTGAAAGCACAGGAGGCCAGGAGGCTGTAGCTGATGTCAATTTCATGGATCCGTGAGTCGCGAGGTCTGGCTGAGTAGGAAAACCCCACGAGAGCGAGAGAGTTGGGGTGCTAGGAAGAGATCTGGCGCTGCGACGCGTGTGCGTTCCCGTGATGAATGCGAACAGCAAGAAAAGGTACAAAGATCTCTTGCCGTTGATAGTTGAGCTGTGCACACAGCGGCGCCCTGTGTGTGTGTTTGCAGGGTAGGAGTCTTCGGCGGCAGCTTTGATCCAATCACCGTCGGCCACATTATGGTTCGCACCCCACCATCCATTCACACAAAGGATGGATGCCCCCGCATACGTGTGTGCGTTGCAGACGGCCGCGCAGGTTCTTCACTGCGGTAGTGTGGATGAGGTGTGGATAGTGCCCTGCGGCAACCGGCCCGACAAGAAGACCACAGGGGCAGCGCGCCATCGGCTCGAGATGTGCCGCAGGGCCGTCGAGGCATCGTTCTCACACGACTTCCCCATCAAGGTAATGACCAGAGATTCCTGCAGACACAGATGGATGCCGCTGGTGTGTATCGGTGTGGCGTTGTGTGTCTGTGCAGGTGATGTCTACCGAGGTGGATCACGGGCAGTTCATCCCCTCGTATGAGCTGATGAAGCGCTACGCCAGCGAGCACCCCTCAATCGACTTCTGGCTCATCATCGGCAGCGACCTCGTCACCACACTCCAAAAATGGTACCCACACCGCACACAGAACACACACATTCCCTCCCTTTCACCCCCTCCCTTGTCTGTCTCTGCATGCAGGCAGCACGGCCCTCTTCTGATGAAGGAGTGCCGCTTCCTGGTGGTGCCACGTCAGGGCGCCGAGACGACCCCAGCCGACCCCAGATGGCCGCCGGGCATCACCTACAGGTGTCTGGAGGACGACGCCAAGGCCGGCGAGCTGGATCTGTTCGTCACCGACATATCGTCCACGGCGCTGCGTGCGCGGCTGGGGCGGCCAATGGGGCGTGAGAGGCTGTGTGAAGGGCTGACACCGCTGTGTGTGCTGGAGTACATACGGGAGCATGGGCTGTACAGAGGGGAGAGACTCTGATGCATATGCATCTGCACAGATGAGGTTTGACTGTGTGCGGCGCTTTATCGTGTGATTGGATGACGGATGCACTTGTGGGTTTGTCTGTGTGAATGGCGGCCTTTCGTCCGGTGCCTTTCCCTTGGCTGTCCGATGAGTCATGCTGCGCTGGAAAGCTGCGACGTGACGCATTGGTCAGCCAGCGGAATCTCCTTGAACGAAAGATGTCATTGACGAACTGCAGCACAGTAAAAGGATGTCTGCAAAATGGACAACGCATTCATGCCGATACCTCTTCAACTTTGCGCTATACCCATACGAACGTACATATATCCACACACACACATACCTAGTCATGAAGCGACCCATCGATCTATCCGCCACATCTCCCACCCCCATGGCCAGCAGGAGGGGGACGTGGACGGCCCACTCTCTCCATCCCCTTCGCTGTCGTCGCTTACGCGGGTGGCCCTGTCGTCCTCACCGCCACCTGGCTGACGGACCACCTGGATCACGCCGACATCCACCAATGCCTCCACTCGCCGCACGTCCACACGAGCCGGGAAGCAGCCCACAAATATGATGATGGCCTGAACAAGAGAGGAAAGGACAACACACTAGAGTGTATGTCTGCAGCCTTTGTTGCCACACGACACGGGCCGTGAAGGCAGACAGGTCACCTGCGCTGCGACGTCCATGTTGGTGTGCGCCTGCAGTGTCGCTATCTTATCCACACCGCCGGCCTGCGTGAGACGCCGAACGAAACAGCCGGCCATGTGGCTGTGCCCAGGGTTGTGGTGTCCTCTTCTCTCTCTGTCTCACCTGCTCGACCAGCATGCAGTAGGGATTGTCGGGGAGGCCCTCGTTGGCCTGCTTCTCACGACCCGAACTGCACACACGAGGGCAACAGACAACTGGTAGGTAATTCAGAGGGACGTGTGTGTGTGTGTGTGACCTACCTGAGTATTATTTTCAGTAGCATGACACCGATAAAAAGGTTGCGGTTGTTGTCGACATCGATCAGGTCACAGAGGGGCTGGATGCCGCCACACTCAACCACATACTCGACCTGCACGATTGAACAAATGAACGAACACACACATCAAGCGGCCTGAGTGCCTTGTCAGTCACCTGTTGCTGCGATCCCTGGGCGAGCACGTTTGCAATGGCCATCGCTGCCGTCTCGTTATAGCGGACATGAGCCTCTTCGCTGGCCGCCGCGTGGACGAGTAGAGGCACGAGCCCACCATCGACGGCCGCCTGTCGGTGAGAGCAACCAATCCACAGCACCTTACACCTGACGCAGGTGCTGTCTTTGATGGGATGTGTGTGAGCGCGCGGCCGGCTTACCTCCAGTCAGGACCGTCGCCGTCAAGCATGCGATGTCTTTCATCCGTGGGTCGGCTGCCTCCAGCAGAGTCTTGATCGACGCCACGGCGCCACACCCGACCAACGCGTCACGGTCAGCGTCGGTACCTATGAGGGAATCACCAATCAGAGGCAATCAGGACACAGCGAGTTATGCAGCCGATGCTTGTGTTTTGTGCCTTCATGTGTGGCGACTAACCGTAAGCCTCGATACACAGCACCCCGACATACGCCAACGCCCCTCGTGCCTTCACCTTCACACACTCGTCCTGTTGAGGGGCGCTGAAGAGGCGGACAAGCTCCGGTACGAAGGGAGCCAAGTCGGCCAGTGGAGGCCGAGGTTGGACACTCCACAGAGTGGCCACCAGCTGGACACCCATGGCGACCACATCGGTCATGGTGCTCTCTCGTATCGTCACCAGCAGCGGCTGCAGGATGCCCGCCGCCAGCACCGCATCGCGACGGGCCACCGATCCCTCCGTGACCTTTTTCAGCGCCCCGACGGCCCCCAAACGCACGTAATCATTAGGTGACGACACCAGCTGTACCAGGGGCGGGATGGCACCGGCATCGACAAATGCCGTGGCATGGCGAGCCCCCAGCATGCCGAGGGCCAAGGCCGCAACCAGCCCCTCCACCTCCTCTGCCGGTCCTTTCGTCAGCGAGAACCTCAGCTGCTCCACCAACACAGGCACCACACCGGCGCTGAAAGCCTTCTCGTCAATGGCGTTGCCGTTCATATGCTCGATCGATAGCAGCCGGACCAGCTGACGTATGACGTCAGTGCGAAGCTGCGGATCACTGGCCGACGCTATCAGGTGGCAGATGTCGGTCATGACGGCGGCAATGTCGGCCTCGAGGGCTTCCAATCCTCGCTGCTGCACTGTGTGGTCATAGGGCCCTTGCGTCCCGATGGCATCGAACAGCTTCCTCGCATTGTCCAGTACTGCTTGGGGTGAGGGATGCCCACCTGGGGTGCTGCCCTCCAACACCATTTCTGCGAAGAGCAACAAAAATCCGCCCGCACGATGCGGAATGCTCCCGTCTGCTGTCCCCCGGTTGCGAAGGCCCCGAAAACTCGGGGGCGAGTAAATCCGTCGGGGGAGGAAATGATCGAATAGATCTCTCAATGACGCATGCCGCCTGAGGTCTGGCCAGTGCTCCAGCACTCACTGAAAAATCGCTTCGTCAAGCTCCGGACTTCACCGTGAGCTCTGCTTCTCTGTGAGCCGGCAGGATGAGGCAAGCTGCCATAGCCGATCATGCAGTGCAGCGAGTGCGCGTGCCTCTGTTTGAGCGCCGCTTGCATGTGGGAGGAGGGAAGGCAGTTTTTTTGCATGTCTGTCTACACGACGGTCCCTTAGCCCGTGGATGGATGTGTCCATGACACAGACCACGGCTGCAGTCTGTCAAATATGGCGGGCACGCAATCAAACGGGCGAAGAGACGTCATGATATAAAATGTAGGCAACGATGCACCGCACCAAACGTGTGGTGCCCAGGCATGAGAAACGGGCCTTGCTCTCTTCGGTAAGAAGGCGTGTCCCACCAGCAAAGTCGGAATGCCTTCTTTTCCTGCGGTCCTGGCCGCCTGATTGTTGGTAGGGTCTTCTTCCACGGCGGCGGCGGCCGCCGCGTTGCTGCCGTTGGTGCCGTCGGCAGCAACGCGAGGTCGTTCAGGTTCATACCTCGCTCTGTGTGTGCGAGAGTGTGTGTGTGTTGCTGAGCAGGTGAGCCAAGCAGGGGAGCGGAGGGAAGCCGTCTAGGTCTAGGTGTGTGTGGGTTGGATAACACATGGGGCCGAGATGGCACATTTTGTGCATCTGATTGGTGTGTTTAAGCGCCGGTTGTGTGTGACGGAAGGGGGAAGGCAGTCAGTCGTTTGATGTTACACGACGGTGCACAAATGTTTGAGCGCCGCCTGTGTGTTGGGGGGGGGGGGGGG